ATGGCGTAAGCCATTCTCTTTTCTGTACCACGACTGAGGGATTTGCCACCTACATCGACGAATTAAATTGGAAAGTAAATAGACAGACGGACCGATACAATTAGAGTAAGAGTATCGTAAACACCACAACACACGTTAACCATTTCCTGCAAGACCCTTCCCTGAGAAGGAGGCTACTCAATTTCGGGACTTCAATACAAGGAGTACTCGAAAACTACGTATATAGTATTTGGCCTTATTATATGGCTGTGTCTCACAAAATCTGGGAACTACAGACCTCACGAATTTGATTGGCTGAAATAAATATTGAAAGCGGTTTTGATTTTCCCATGTAGACCGGCATCTTGACCGGTCTAGAAAAAAAAGGTACAAAGGATATAAAAAAATGGCATATAAGACACAGCCATATAATGAACATCTTATTAACCGAGCTAGGTCGGTCTGTATGGGAGAATATTGAGAGCGGTCTAGATTTTCCCATCTAGACTGGCATCTAGACCGGTCTAGAAAAAAAAGGTACAAAGGATATAAAAAAGTGGCATATAAGACACAGCCATATAATAAACATCTTTTTTACTGAGCCAGGTCAGTCTGTATGGGAGAATCTTGACCTCGGTCGCTGGTAAAGACCGAACGCAGTGAGGTCTGTACTGGCGACCTTGGTCAAGATTCTCCCATCCAGACCTCCTGCTCGGTTAATAAGAACTAAATATCAAAAACTTAAGTCTTTTGACACAGTCAAGCCATTTAGCAGTGGGAATATCAAAATATCATAACCTCTTATCAGAAATGATATATCATAATATTATCACTAAAAACTGCAAAAAAATGTATGACAAAATTTTTGATATAACTAAAGTGATAGCAATGATTGATATTATGATATTCTGCAATATCGCACCTCACTCCCCGAGTTAGTGTGTAAACATGCAATTGAAAGCTACTCAGTGAGCAGTACATTGTGTTCCCTGTAGGGTCACATCCGAGGTGGGACCATTTTATCCCATTATAAGTACAGTTTTGACTTGGAATTTTATCCTTTTAATAATTGTTTTATTATTTTGTTCATTTAATTGCTTCTGTTCAGCTGCTCTCTGCTTGTGGATTTTGATATTCATGTTTGGGACATCAGACGACCTTACATACCACATGCATCTTTTGGTGAACACAAGGATGTTGTAACAGGTAACATATGCTTGTGAAAGGTAATACCAATTGGCATCTGAAATTGTGATCAGCACCTTTATGAGAAATCTTGGAACACCAGGGGTGAATATATCTCACTTTGGGCCTATTAAAGGTTCACAAGTAAATTTTGGGGTTTGACCTTTTTTCTGGTTTTACAATTTTTCAAACCAATTTGATTTTTATTTCCTATTGTTTTGTATTCAGTATCATAATCTGAAATAAAGCAAAATGGAAATCAAACTGGTATGAAAAAATGTATAAGTTAGAGAAGAAGTTTCCTCAACAGTACATGAAAAATGCCATAGCTGGTCCAAAAGTTTTTGGTTGTACAGGAAATACATGAGAATTTAGCTGCCTTTCATGGAAAAATGAAAAATTCTGAGTTTTTTAAGGAGATTTGCTTTAAGGATTAGTAATGTCAAAAGCAAAATCTCTTCTGATTTGTTTATAAATCAATATTTGCATAGGTATACTGTGGCGGCAGACACTGCACAACAAAGACCCGTTTGTATTCCTGTCATGCGCGAAAGACTCCATGTTGTATCAACACGCGTTCAGTGACGCTCAACACCCAGCTGAACATGCCCCCCGGGTTGGACTGTCAATCAATGTCAATGGCGACATAAGTGTAGCATCAAGTGATCAGTCATTAAAGAGAATTCCTACACAGAGTATGATACAGACCAGACCGTAAGTGAAGTGAAACCTCAGGGCCTTGGTGCGCCCCAAGGGCTAGTTCGAAGTCATAACTTATTATTAGACTGTTGCTTGTATTGTCTCATAGATTCATGTAATACCGCTACGAATCGATACATTATACCCGATGAAGTCTACATACGAGACTGTTTTTCATAGCTTCCGCAACATATCCCGTTTTTGTAACATATGCCTCGTGGAAATAATTTGCCCCCAGCTTTCGTCAGTTTTTTCCAACAGTTCGTCCTCACCTTCTCCTTGCTGGAGGGAGGCACTGTGAAAGTAAATTGTCTTGCCCAACAACACAACACAGAGATCTGGCCGAACGTCTAGCGCCAACAATTAAACGACTGCGTCGCCGTCAAATCGAAGCGATGCCCCACCCTCCCCATCCCACCAAGATGATAAAAAGATTAAAATTTTTTTTTTAGTAATAGTTTCTGTTACTCCACACGGTTAGTGTAATTGTTGTTTTTTTTTTTAAATCTCTCTGGAGTTATTCAGTTGAATTTTGCTCGTCAATATACGTATGTTGTTAGGAAAATTTGAAACTTGTTTAGTGTTAATGATATTATTTGATTTGGTTCCTGAAAGGCGCGTGGTTAATAACACCGCATACAACATTATTGCGTCTCATCGAAAGTTTCAAGACATGGCTGACAATGTTACCGAAGTCAGGAGCACACTTTTGGTTCATCAGAATAGCAAATCCACGGTACGTGTGTTTTCTCTGATTAGCTTCATCAAAGTTTAGAGGGTAGTCACAATTATTACTTTTGCTTCCACTTCTGTGTTCGTTGACGTATTTTTCAGGGTAATATTATCATCATATAAAACTAAAGAAGAATAATTAGCTCAGAAAAGGCCTGTTTGCTCGATAGAAAACAGTATAATTTTGATCAACAGTGACGACTCTTCACCCCCTTGTTCTGTGCTTTTTCATGTAAACCTCTACTCCTTAAAAACGGAGTAAAGTAAGGAAAAAGTATGTGGAGACAAAAATTTTAATCGTACCGCGAGATTTATTGTCTTTGATATGATTTCAGAAAGAGGACTGGTTTCGCATTCTGGCTCAAAGCTATCAGCTGAGCGGATGGAGTTATTCAGAGCTCTGTGAACACAACTACACTGTAAGTTAACGTAACAGTGCGTTTCGTGTCAAGAAAAAAACACTCCCAGTGGGACCAATGTTAGTGTCCTAAGCAACTGCGCACCCACCCCCCGAGCCAACATTAACCCTAACTGAGTTATTTTCGGTCGACTGTTGTTGGGTTAGAGAAGGGCAGGTCCACAGAGATTGATGCAAGCGATGCAAGGAATGCTTAAGACAACGTGCAGCAAAATTCGAGAAAGATTTTGTTAAATTTGAAAGGATTATGCGAAGTCGATCTTACTCTATAATGAGTTCAATCTTACGCGAAAGATAGGGTTCATCTTGGGATGGAACTTATTGTTTTGGAGAGTGTATGGGACAGTTCAAGTTCTTTTTGTAATTTGTGTCAAATGCTGGAGCTTGAAAGGACAAATACAAATAAAACTGTTGACCGTGGTGTTTGTCAGTGCGCTAACAGATGCACTAACGCTATGTTTGCTGGCTATGTTGATTAGTACAGAGTATTCATTCCCACTTGATTTAAAGGTTGCAAGTAAACTTATGATCCATGAACATGCGCAGACATGGTCTGTTCTTAAAACTCTGTATGGCATGACCGGGGGATCTGGAACTACACCTGCAGCACTAGCACCCACCCCCAAGAATCCTCTTGCAGCCGGAAGTCATGGCAGCACCACTGGAAATGCTGAACCTGGTAAAACACCCTGTTGGCCATATATGGAGAGCTTTTTCAAATGAGTACTGTTGAACCAAAACCAAACCAACAACCAATTACAGGCAGGGAAAGTTTCAAAAGGAACCAATTAGAAATCAAAGTAAAAAAACGAGTGGACTACTCGAAGCGGGAGAAAGCGCAGCTGACTAAGTCCGCTATTGGTTTTACTTTTTTCGTTTGATTTGTTGATTTGTTGAAATAACTATAGCCAGCGCTTTCGGTTGAGCGTCGTTAAACCAAAACTGAATTTAAATCACTTCAATCAGCAAATCAGGGCAAAGCGAGATATTGCTGAGAGCCAATAGGAATTGAAAGTTGAGCGCGGGAAAGGCGTCTGTATCTACTTATTGTAGGTTTGATTGGTTGAAAGAGTGATTGTAATTTTCTAGACTAAACAAAGAGTGATGCTCACCTTCTGATGGTTTGCTTTCAGTTGACTTGATTTACTGAGCAGTTTTCGATTGATTGTCGAAAAACCAAAAACAAAGTAATCTCAAGGGCAAATCATGACAAAATTTTACATCGTCATGAGCCAATAGACACTCAGAGCACAACCACGCAAGCTATCAAAAAACGCGGGAAAACTCGGGCGACCAAGTCACTCTGATTGGCTGAGAGGATGGCGCGAGTTTTGTTGACCAATCACTGATCGAATAATGCAAAAACAAAAAAATATCGGAATACTTTCGACAAACATTTGAAAATTGTTGTAATAGGCTGTGTGATATTTTCCTTTAGATCAGTTTGATTGCTTTGGTCCTTCGTTTATAAAACTCAGTGAAAATGCCCCTGAATCAATGTTAGAGTTATTTTTATCCATAGCGATGTTGGTATTATTAGAAGAAATCTTGAAAAAAATGAACTGTGTTTATTTTCCCCCATTGTAGTTGAAGTCAGTACACAAAGTAATACTCAGACTTCCTCAGCCAATCAAAAATCGTCAACTGAGCCAGCAGTGACACAAAACACTCAACCGGCATCTGAAACACAAGGTAGGTAATCCATCAAGTTACATCTGCATAAAGTGTCAACTCTATGATAAGACTCTCTCTTTTCCCTTTTTTCTTTTGATTGGTTTGTTTGTTTGTTTGTTTGTTTTTTCAGACGATAATAATGACGCATCGTCTACGAGCGGCGAAAATGAAAATGCGAAGTTGATGAATTTAGAAGGACAAGGTGTGAAAAGTCTTTGCTATTCTTAAAATTCGACGTTTTCCCTTCACTCTGTCCCATTAATGTCCTTATTAGAGGGGTTCGACTGTATTTTCAGTCCAACAAGAGTGGTAAATGATTAGATTTTTCTACCGATAGTTAAACTGCTTCAAATTCTAACAGAAGGCAACAAAATCTTCCTAGAATTTACATTCAACGATCTTGATCAAGATGAATTTCAGTTCCCCTATGATGGCCTTCTCGGCCTCGGAGATGCGCCTCAGGACTGGAAACTACCCAGCGTGAGTGACACTTCTATGCATGATATCTTTTCATGTTATGATATTTAACGTACCAAATCTGTCACATATTTGGTAGGTTCTAAACTTTAATTATAATTCATTGGATGACAGACAGATGACGCCATGAACCATACAGGCATTTTGATTGGTTCTCAGATGTTAAAGAAGGATTTGTTCAAAAACTACTCGTCTTCCCGCCCTTTTGTGGTTTTGCCGCTGAGGGCCGCGGGCTTTGGTACTCTTTTTTTCCTGTAGCGGCCATTTTGGTTTTCTTATGTATTGAGCTCGAAATTAAGTTTTTTATTTGACGGCTTAATTCACGTTATTCAAATGTTCTGGTATCGAGAACATTACGTACGATCTACTAGAGGACAGACACATAAATGAAGTCATCCCTAACAAAATTATGCTTTTTTGTCTTATGGAACAGAGAGGTCTTTGTTGTCATTGATCTGTACTGTAATATATTACAGTGACACACTCGACTGTGCCTCGTGTGCCACTTTTTCGTTTTTACCACAATTTGAGTTCATCTTTGATCTGTTACTGAACAGACGCGTGGCAACATGGAATCTGTTTGTTAAATAGATTCACGAAGACATGAATCCCTTTCTTATATACAGCCAGTTTTAAGGTCGCAGTCAAATAAAAGTGAAGTAAAATTCTAATTGACTGTTTGCTGTCAAATCAAGGAACAAAGAGGCGCATGAACCGTGGATAGAGAGGGGGACAATTCCTAAGAGATTGACTTTTCCTCGCAGTTGAATTTAAAGAGACCAAAAATATGATGTGAATATTCTTATTTTTAGGAAGCTTTCGAACCTAGAGCAGCGTTGGATGACAGGTAAAAAAGTAAAATAGCCCGAAGTTGGTATGATTAGGAATTTGGTATGATTAGGAATGTGATGCTTGTTTTGAAAATAAGACAGATAAATGCAATGATAAGACGAATGAAGCATTTGATACTATCGCACTGTCTCATTTCGAATTATGGTCTTTTCGTCCAGAAGTCTTTTCGTCCAAAAGTCTTTTCGTCCAAGTCTTTTCGTCCAAAAGTATTTTCACCTAAGCCTGTTCGTTTACTTGTTAAGTCTATTCTCGAAGCAAATAAATAACTTTTAGAAGGCTAGATAAGGCTATAGAAAGAACTTGTTGCGAGCCGCCGCCATTTTGGTTCCGATAGCTTTAGTAGAACCGGAGATGTTTTTTTTTTTTGAGAAATCAACAAATAGACATGGCGCCGCTGAAGGATCGTTCGCACAAAATGTGGCCACGAATTCGCATTGATTCTGTAAAGTATGAAACGTGAAATGAAAGTACTTTTGGACGAAAAGACTCGGACGAAAAGACTTGGACGAAAAGACACCCTCATTTCCAACTCACTATTGAAAGAGAGAGAGAGAGAAAAATATGAGATAAAGGAAAAGTTAACAGGTGCAATAAATAGGTAGGTTACACTGACCTGTGGGTACTTGGTTACATTGACCTGTGGGTACTTGGTTACATTGACCTTTGGGTACTTGTGTATGAAAAGTTTACCCGTAATGGTTAAGTGCCAACGTTTCTATACCATCTTGCAGAACAATGTCGAGAGGGGCATGGGAGGCAGTAGGCGTCCTAACAAATATATCTGGGAGTGTGGGTCTCATTATGTCGTCTTTAACTTATGCCTGAAGTCAGAATCTTGACCTGCCCGTAAAGGTCATGTTCTGATTGTTGCACTGGGTTTGCAAAGCGTTATTTGCCTCTTTTCCTAAGGTGTTTTTGATGGTGTTTTTTTTAGACCCACTTTTCCAACCTTGGATCAGGAAATAGATAGACCCGACTCGCCTACCAGGTTTGATTAACCTCGTGATTCTCACCACCATTAATACTAATGTCAAGTTTGATACCGTTTCTTAGAATTAAGTTTTTCGTCTGACCTGCGGAAATTATTTCCTTATTCCTGTTACTAGTGTCTATATCTTCACGCAGCCCAAGAAAGTAGGGTGTTTTGAGGTTGAATGTGGACAAAATGGAGAACTACTTTGAGGTTAACTAGGTTGAAACCACCATCTCCTGGCCTTAGACGAGAGATTCTCGTTTTTGTCTTACAAAGAAGTCATTCTTGGACAGAGTCATGACAATTTTTATTAATCGGATGTACTTTTGATTTTTCTACATTGTTTCTTTTGTTTTTAGCAATATAGAGTCTGAAGCAACCTCGGCAACGAATCCAAAGTCCTTTATTGATTCAAATCTTGAAAATCAAGGATCTGTTTCCCCCTCAAACGAAACGTTGGTAAGAAGATTATTTCATCTGCTCATTACCCACTGGACCCTAGCAGTAGTATTTATATTCTCCATACGGTTCCCTTTACATTTCCTGTGGTTCTGACAAGGAGAATTTCTGTAGAAATTAGAAGCCAATCCTTCTCAGGGATTAAAATGTTAAGACGCGGAAACGTTCAAAATGATGGGGTCTAAACAATCCCGAGCATTTCTGTGCATGTACATCTAACCTTGTGTCCAGTCTTCTAAACAGTTTTTTTTGCTCTTACTAGATCTGTATTCTGTAACTTAGGTTAGTTTTTTCTCTCATTTACCAGTCTCTTCCCGAGTGGGATTTTACACCACTGGTTGTGGAAATGCTTCATCACTTTGCGGACGAGGTGAGCACCGCAGTGTCCTGGTCATCACAGAGTTTTACATTGTAGCATATCCATTGAAAGGAAATTTTACTGTAGCAGTTCAATGGTCCTGTGTAAGTTCAAAACAAGACCTATCAATGTCACACGAAAACCACTTCGTGAATAAATTTCAATTGGATCGTTAGTGAAACCAAATCAGGTTCTCATTATTTACCTCAAAACCTTTTCCAACCAATAATTTCAGAAAATGGCGTTATTGCTTGGCATCAAGCCGTAATGTAACACTGTTAAACTTGCTTTAAGATTGGTCCATTTAGAGGGCAGTGTTTCACTGTGCGACCCGCGAAATTCTTACGTTTGTTTACGGAACCTCGTTTTGGACATAAATCCTCAACTTATAGTACAGACCTCGAACTCGGGTAGTAAGAAGTAGGTCTGACTCATCCCTTATCTTGTATTGTTAGAATAATCACCTATCCTCTCTCATTCCTGAATTAGGGAGACGTACAAATGTGTGTATCTGCATTGATTGTCCTCGGGGAGAAAATTCGCAGCAAGATTGATGAACAAACTCAAGAACAGTGGCTCATGGCCTATATCGGCGAGTAGCAAGATCTCAGTTTCGTAAAAATGGTTGCGTTTAGTCATCCTGGTGAATAACTGTCACGATGTGGTTTTTTCCGCTGTGGATCGCCATTCACATGCCAAGGGACTGCATCGTGAGACCAACGATAAACCTATTATGATCTTTATAGAAAGCTGAACCGGGATAATCAGTAAAAATAAAAGAAGTAGCCCTTTAAAGAAACATTTTAGACATTTCCACGTTTCGAGAGAAAGAAGATGCCATAGAGTCTTCCCCCCTCCCTCCCCTCCCCTGAGGGCTAGAACCACAGACATACCATAGCGATACGGTGTATGATCATATATTTAACAACTATTCACCGAAGTGGAGGTGGTTAGTGGTGGATATTTACCGAGCCGAGAAGCGGCGAGGTAAATATCCACCGCTAACCACCGACACTGAGGTGAATAGTTGTTTTAGTATATACTAAAACAGTGAGATAATATACACCACCGTCGTTAATTTAAGTGATTTCTTCGCTTGTCACGGATGCAAACCGGGGCGCCATTTTTTCCCGAGTTGCTCGGAGGTAAATAGCAAAGGATATTCGGAGTTTGATCAGCCAATCAGAGCGCGCCTTCGACGCTATCCACTGTTTTAGTATATACTAATTTAGGATATTAAATCTAGTTTTATTTTCTAATTGGATTATCTTCCTTGAGCAGATTTACTTGGTCGTCTGCAGCTGTGGACGGTGGCAAATCAGATTATTAAGCTGTCCAGTCTCCACGCAGTCAGCTCCTTAAACCAGGTAAAACTGAATTTAAAAAATAAAGGATCGTATTGTTAGATGCCCCGGTCAAAAAGTTTGCAGGATTTTTATATCTGAAGAGTGTAAGTTCTCTTTATCCTCTGAGACACAAATCCAAGAAATGATTCGCCCTTTCCTTGTTCACTCAGCTAAAAGTGGCCGTCTGGCACTTGGTGTACTGGGCCCCGGATCGAGAGGTTTGAGTTCGAGTACTGGTTGGGTCACTGTTTTGTAATAGTTACGTAACTCCCGCCGTTCTTTTCTCGCGTAAAAGAATAAATGAACGATGCAGAAGCCCATCAGATATTTTAGCGTGTAATTTAATGATTGGTTTTACTCTTATTTTGTTGCCAGGCATCAACAACAGTGCATACATCTTGTGGGCGTTGTTCCAAACCGTTGACTAAGTCAGGCTGGTATTGTGAAAGATGTCGGGGTCTTGTGTTTCCATGCTCAGTGTGGTATGAATTGTTTCTTATGTCAAATTATGGTCTGTGAGACTTAACAAGTCCACGGAAAACCTAGCCTGGAATTTTTTCTCAGAGTCTTTAAAATCCGACTTTAAAATAATTTCAAGTGAGTGAGGTTTTTTTTGACAGTAATTTTTGGGGGTCAGAACCAACTTTTACAGTTTAACAAACTTTAAAACAACATTTGCATGGTTACTCACTGAAGTTCCATTCACAAACTCAAAAAGTTGGAGCCACCTTGTAAATAAACAGCGTAAAAAAACCTCTACTGTAGTCTGAACACGTGAAGTATTGCTTTTACGAACTAGGCTTATATGGACGTACAAAGATTTCTTGACTCAATTTTAACTCATTGCAGTCATCTGATGGTGAAAGGTTTAAACGTGTGGTGTCAAGGGTGCGGTCATGGCGGCCATCTTACTCACATGCAGGAGTGGTTTGAAAAATACATATGGTGTCCTGCGGGCTGTGGGCACATGTGCGAGTACACGTGACTAAAACAGAGAGGAAACGTTACAAGACTGGAAGAGAAACGTCACAGGGGAGGTGAAACATGTGACGGTTTTTTAGAGACACGTGATTGGAACTGACATGAAATGTACTTAAATACGGTAACGAAGAACAATTTGGGACCCTTAATGTGTTAAGAGATTAGAGGGATCGCGTCAAATGATCAGCTTTGATTTGTGATACTTCCCGCAGAAGACTTCGCTCGAGTTGCGAGCGTTCCGTGGTAGTTTTGGCATGCGCGACACCATTACAAAATGACGACCAATCAGAAACGCAGATACAAAGTCATTCTTCAGTAATGAGTGACTCGAGATGGTGCCCAGCACTGGATGGAGGTGATACGAAAACTCATCCACCCGTTTTGTGTGGGAAAACCTTTGGAGATTACGTTCAGTTGTTAACATTGGCTTGTAACCATGTTGTAGTTCAATTTTATCCTTGGTTCAAATTTAATTTTCCTTTGTTTCAAACTTATTATCATACATTAACATGACCGAGAACAACGGAAAATAAATTTGAACTACAACATCTACATTGAACAGGGAATGGGTCACATTTATGAACTGATACGTTAAAGAAATTATCAAAATAAACAGTTACAACACCACTGTCGATTCAACATTTGTTTTATTCGTGACTTTGTATCTTTCTAATAGCACAAAATAATTATTTTCATCTATATTGGACATATCAAGGTAGAAAAATTTTAATCACAAATATATTTCCTCATTTTATACAATCACTAAAGAAAAAAACGGTAAACATGATCTTACCAAAAACAAAAAAAAGAAATACTCAAACAAAATAATTATATTCATTTGACCTTATACAAAAGTAATCACAAATTCAATTTTCTTACTTAATCCAAATTTCGCTACAGCGCTATACACTTGGATCGCTTTTTTACATTTTTTGGACAATTTCATCTATAATGCAAACTAATACATACGCAAAATTTACACAATCCAGAATTTCTCTTCAACGGAAACCACAAAATTTATAACTTCAGAAGAAAAAAACCAACGTATTTATCACCACCTAGAAGCTGTAGAAAGCGACTTCGCTCTACGACGATAACGAAAAACCTTATTTCTTGTAAATGCCATTCATAAATAAATCTGAATCTCAGCAGTTGTAATACCTTACAAACTGTTACATGATTGGTCTTTACATCTCGTCGACTTGACTTTTCAGTATTTTACACCCATCATTAATCGTAGAAACAAATCCGGAGTTTAGGTAACTGCCCAAACAATATTTCCGCACTTTGAAAAAAATCTTCTCAATTCGACAGGCCCCAAAAGAGAAAGACCATGGATCGGATAGTAACATTACTAGACGCACTGTATTGAGTGGCAAATGAACCACTTTAGTTATAGAAACTAATGCTAATGCTCTCGAATATATATTGTGTTAGACACTGAAAATATTATATTATAGTGTACCAACACTTCAACGAGGCGAATACGTGTCTTAGATAATTCCTTTCGTTAATTAACTCATTAAGTACATTTATGCTCCTGGTGCAAGAAAAAAAACCGTGACCCAGCGAGTCCATATTGACGCAGTATTCTCACAATGATACGGTAAATAAAATCACGGTACCCTGTGCGGTAACTAGATAATCTCATCTATTGATTGAGATGTTCTTTTTTTTTTTCAAATCAGACTTCATACATCCAAAACAGTAGCAAACTTTAAGTCTTAAAGTGACTGTCACCTGCAAATCGATGCTATGATTTACACGATAGTGTTACCGTCACAGAAACCGTTGCCGTTTACTAATTCATGCAAAGAGAGCCCCTATTCGTGCACAGGTCAACGTTTAGAACTCGTTTAAGTCAATTTAATAAACGAATCATAAAAGGAGCTTATTCAATAAACCTCCATACCTGGGTGCCCATACTAAATTCTACATATAAGAGCTGTCTAACCATAGCGCAGATTCAAACCAGCTTTGCCCCCCGACTTGGTTTCTAACCGTAAGAGTCACGTGGGAGAAATTTTCGGGCTCAACAACGAAACCCTTGTGTTGATTTAATAAACTTCTTTGTCTTTCGTTGAAACGATAAGATGCAGCCACCAATGCGACATGATTTAAACACACTGTGTTTACTCAAGATCCAGCTCACCTGTAGTGAGTAAAAAACACAAACTTCAGAAACTGAGTATTAAGAAAAACTGCTCAACCCTTGCGCGATTTACCAGGAAGAGGCGAAACAATAAAGTAACCGTGGCCAGAAGTGAGGTGCCGGGATGTAGTTTCGCAGATTTCTGGTGAATTGCGCGACAGATTTCGCTGGAAAGACGGATTACTTGTGGTTTCAACTACAGTATTTTAGTGTATAATTGTCGAACTGATATAAAAAGTTTATAATGAAGGTCTGCGTTGTTGTTATTGTAGGCCTAGCTTCAGAAAGTTAAACTGATTATGATTAAAAAAAAAAAAAAAAAAATGTACTGGAATTTGCGTTCACAGAGAGGATAAGTATTTCCGTTCACAGAGTAGGTTAGTATAAATACGTTTCTCTAAAACACCCCCAAAATATGAATCTAGGATAGAAATATTGAAAGTACCAACATGCAGAGTGAACGTTTAAGGTTTAATCATGCACTTACATCGTGACATTCACGGGTATTTCCATCAGTTTCCTGGCGAATAAATCAAAATCATCCTGAATTCTTGCGAATTATCCTTGGCACAGCCGATCAAACAATTATTGGGAGAAACTCACAAAATCCCTCGCTTGAAACCCGAATTTACTCGCTCTTTAAGTGCGACTGTTATACCCTCCTCCCCCCCCCCACAAAGAACCAAATGTTCATAGCAAAACCTTTTTTCTTTGCGCCTGTGTCTTCCCACTTCCAACCCCACCCCGCTCATGTTAGATTTTGTGCGTTAGATTGGTATGTTGAGGTTCTTTGAGTTTTAAAAGTGATAATTTTCCCTTTTATAGATCTGATCGATTACACAAGGATTTCGTTTACACCGAATAACTTAGGTTAACTTTAAAGTAAAAATATAATCTCAAAGCTGCTAATCAAAATTGGTCTTTTTTTCCATCTTTAACCCTTAGAGTGAATTCACTTGCATCTAATAGACCACTTTCATAAATGGCTGCCGGATTAATATGCTTTTGTTTAAATTTAAATTAGCCCTACTGGCCTCGTTCTCCAGTACAAAATTCAAAAGAATACATTATCTCAAGCGAGGCCAGTAGGGCTAATTTAAATTTAAACAAAAGAATATTTAAACGGCAGCCATTTATGAAAGTGGTCTATTTCCCTAGTCATTGTCACAGCTCAAGGCTGTGCTCTAGGGAAAATCGAGTGGAGCCCACTGCTCTGAAACTGTCAAATCCAGGGTGCCCAGCATAGCTTTGTATGAAAAAACTAAAAATTCCTGAGTCGCCCAAGAGCAAAAGTAAGACCACAGCCTTGCTGCTGTATCAAAAATAAATGTTATGAGAATACAGGAAATGGCCACCAATTCAATACGCTCTTGATTGTTAAAAAAAATTCTCCTTGCTAGTACCACAAGCTTAAGATATAGATATGGCGAAAATGCATATCATTTTATAACTTAACGAACATAGTACGCAATTTCTGATTGGTCTATTCAGTTTCCAAGCGGATGCTATATATCAGGTCATACAGCCCTCATGTAACTAGTTATGTCATAAAAGGGGATTTATAAGCTTTCCTCTTGTTCTCCCAACACCCCGCGTGGCTTTATTTAAACAATAAAGTGTTTCTGTCGAGGAACTATCGGCTGATAGTTGCCCCACGGAAATTTGATGTTCCTAAAACAGATATGCTAGTTTTAAGAACATCAAATTTCCAAGGTGCAACTATCAGACCGATAGTTCCGAGACACACTATTGTCTTTATTGTTCACCACTAAATTTTCTTCCGCCCACCAGTTGAAAACAGTCACAACCCACTAAATGCATAGCAATCAAATATTTATTCATGCGTACAACCTACCACAAATGTCAATAATTCGCAACCGTACATTGGCTAAATAGTAAGTTATACCTGTCAGAATTGAAAAGTCATTGTTTTTCTGATCTGCCTAACTTCGCGGCCGTCAAACCATTCAAAAATTTTCACGGTTGAGTACTATCCATCCGGGTATTTTCCGCGGATGGGCACTATGGGCTGATAGTGTCTCTCCACAGATGAACACTATCGCGTCACGTGATCAATTTAAACCAATAGGAATCGGAGAAAATTTAGTGGTGAACTATAACACGTTCTAGAGCCCGCAAAAATGTGTTCTATTGCTTAAATAGTGGCTGTGTGAAGGGAAAAACTACGAAAACAAACAAATATAAACATGCTTCGAACCATAAATTTAAATACTTAAGTTAACAGCGTCACGAGGCAGGCAGCTCTCAGTTTCCTCCACCATGACGAATCACAACACAGTGAACATAAAATTAAGAAATCCCGGCATACCTTCCGGTGTTCCCTGTTGCTCTCTCAAGGCTTTCATTGCTGCTACCACTCCTCGGGGTACTACAGTTGTATCGGTGTCTGCTTCCTTCACGATGAAATGGAACTATGGAAAAAAAAAATTGTAATCATAATAGTCGATAACCGCATTAGAACAGACAAGATGCGTGCGTGTTCGGCGTGTTGCGTGTAACGTGGTCGGGTACCTTCGTGGGTGAATACTGTGGCAAAGGTCACTTTGGCGCAATCTAAACTTTATTTAAGCTTTCTACAAGAATAAGAAGGAAGAGACAGCTACCGTATTTACTCGAATAAGCACCCACGATCTAATGAGCGCCCATCCCCTACGCCATGATATCAAACAAGCGCCCTCCCCCGTCCGTCCGTCCATCCATCCTCCCTCATTTTCTTAAATAGTCAAAATACAAGGAAAACCTATTTCTATTGCCACTTGATTTGTAAACTGTTTAAACTTTAACTACGACGGAATCAGTACAGATTAATAATTTCTCATTAAGCGCCCCCCATCCTCCTTGACTACGCGCCCTCCTTTAAGTTATAAACAAGCGCCAGGGTGCTTACTCTAGGAAATACAGTCCATAAATTTATTAATTGTGTACTGTAGCTTGATGAATTCTTAAGCGTGTATAAAGATTAAAGAATGTAGATTTTTAAAGATTATTGTTGATTTTCATCCTTATTCCAATTTCAATCAATCATTTGATGTGTACAACTCATTACCTTAGTCTCCACGTTGCCACTTTTCTTGATACTTGATTTTTTTCCATCGGCTCCTTCAATCACGTAACTGGGAAGAGAATGCCTCTTGGTAGGATCAAAATTCTCAGCTTTGGCTCTCCTCACTACAGCCGGAAGTGGTTTGGTGTCAGCTCCTGCAGCCGTTTTCGCGGATGGTAGCGGTTTAGTTGTAGTTGAAGGTTGCAACACCGGTTTGTTTTCTTCATTCGTCTGGTGCTTAGCTTGAGTCCAAGACACACCCTTGGGTTGAACAGTGGCAGGTTTATTAGCATCTGTAGCAACTGTTCTACTTGCAAGTTTTTCATCAGCTGGGATTATGTGAAACTTGGACCCAGTTAAAATTGCAGAGTGAGGCCTGCCTGGCGTTACTCCGCTTGGACCAACTGTTTGGTCACGCAATATAACAGGGCTCGGCAAATCTGAACGCGAACCCCTATCTGAGGTGTCTTTGGAACTGCCCTGCGACGTAGAATGTTTGTTCGAGTAGACTATTTCATATTTAGTTGCAATGGGTTCTGTTTTCTTTGTCTCTGGGATACTAGTCGATCTTTCGAGCTTAGGAACAGGTTTACCATGTTGATGAGAGGACAATTCTTCTTGCGGTAACGATGAAACCCTGGAAGCTGTGCGTTTAGCTACAGTAGGCTTGCTTCGGACAGAAGGTGCTGGCTTTGAAGTCTTCTCCAGTTCAGCATTGTCCCCCACTCTCTCTGTTACTGAAAACGTGCTATGAACCGAGGTTGCGGAGTCTGCATACGATGTAGATGAGGAAGTTGCTTGCTTTGGAGCGGCGGATGGTGGAGTAAATGACTTCACTTGAAATTCAATCGGACGAACACTCTTTTTACCTTGCGCATTGAACGACACAGGTTTGAATGCTGACCCCCCAAACAAGGGCTTCTTCTTGTTGTCGGTCTCAGGCCCCACCCAGCTCCGAGGCCTTTCCACAGCAGTACCTGGATTTCTCTTCAGTAACAGATTCGGTGGCTTCGCAGGGACGTCCACTTTGGATTCAGACACGTTTGATTTCTCTGCTGCCTTGGCCGCAGATGAAATGAAACTGAGGTCAGCAGCAAGATCGGAGTAGCGTCGGAGAGGGGGAACAGTAAAAGGTGGAGGTTTGGGAAGGTCCACGAGTTCAGTCTTGGAGCTGTCAACGGGAGATGATCCGGGTGATGGGGAGGAACCATCAGTGGAGTAAGACGAACTAGATTTTCTTGCTTGGGCCTCTGTTATTTTGCTGTAGTCTTGAACAACTTCGCTTTTGAGATCTCCGGTTACAATACCTGCAGGCATACTTAGTGGTCGCTGAAGTTTTGAAGATACTTCCACGGGACGTTTTGAAAGGTGCGGCTTGGTTACTTGCACAGACCCAGTATCCACTTTCACATCCGTTTGTGTCGCAGAAAATGCTTGTACAGACTTTGGGCGTCGTTCTTCACTCGGTGTGGTACTCACCGTTTGAGCCTGGACGGCCATTGTGCCTGAGGTAGAAAGCGAGTTGACTTCGAACGTTTTCCTATCCGGTGACGCTGGACCTTTGGGCTCCTCAGACGGCGAAAATCCAGAGTCAGTTGACCGGTCGCTGTTTAATGCAGTTGGCGAAGGCAAAGTGGAGCCACGCGGCGAAACAGACGGTGGAGATGATGACGGGGGACGCGGTAGTTCAGGAGATTGTCTGAAGGATTTAAAATCTAAGCTGAGCTCGGAATTGAGGTCCATATGTGTCGTAAAACTATCCTGAACAGATGGTTGCCTCTCTGTGACGACGTTACCTTTCTGCATAGACTGCATGGTTGATACTTCACCGCTGGACTTTTCAGCTGTTTCCATCTTAAACAGCGCTTCATAATATTCGTAATCTGACGACTCTACTTCTTTCATCTCAGCCACGATAATATCTTCGGAGAACGGGTCCTTAATTTGCACAGTGGGAGTTGCATCCTTGTAAGGTGCAGGAATTGCCATACTCTCTAACTTGTTGAAGTCAGGGGAAGAAGTCACCGTCTTTTCATCTAACTTCTGTAGTTTTGCTTCTAAATCTTTAAACTTATCGCCAGGAGAGGAGACAAGTTTGGTTTGTGGAGTAACAGGGGCTTCTGCGACAACTTCTATCCTCTCTACTGATACAGTTTCTAAAGGAGTTTCTTGCGCAAACAGAGTTTGTCCAGCTACAGTAACTTCCTTTGGGGGCTCGCTCTGTGGAAGGGCAGTCGGATGGTCATTCTGTTCCTCTTTAAAAGTGGTGAAACACATTTGAACTTCGGGTTTTGACTGCTGTGTAGTGACCTCTTCAATAGGATACGTTGTTACTTGTTCTGGTAATTCAGCTTTAACTTGCTGATCCTGTTCAACTGGCGGAATTTTTACATTTGGCCTGAAAGCTTCCGCGGCTGAATTGAATGACAAGGGTCTAACATGCTGAGTGTCGACTTTGACTTCTGCTTCTGTGACAGACGCTAGCTCCACGTTTGATTCAAGTTCTTCCGGTCTCACAAGTGACTCTACCTTGATGACTACTGCGTTAGAATTAATATCGCTGAATTCCTTATCTCTGACAAGGTGACTAGGTTTAGCTCGTGCTTCCAGCTTTTCGGAGTTAAGAGCAATTTCTTTTGGTTGTTTCATTTTGACACCTGGTTCCTGTTTTGCAGCTTCTAGGGGGGCATTCCTCTGGACATCAAACATACCCTCGGCCTCTTTGACTGGCGCGACTGGTTTAGCTTTGATTTCTGGTTTTTCAGGCTTAGAATGTTTTTCAAAATTTCCACGCACTTCTTGTGGGTCTGGTCTCTCTAGTTCGGTACGTAAATTCACTGCTTCCGGTACAACTTTGACCACTGCTTCTTGGATTATTGTCACAGGCTTTTCTTTTACCTCCGGCTTTCCAGGTTTAACCTGCAGGTCTGGTTTTGGAGGTTTAACCTGAAGAGCAGGTTTTGCAGGTTTAACTTGGAAGTCTTGCTTTACATCTTCTGTCAGCGCTGGTAGTGAATACTGTTGTATGTTCACTCCGGCTTTAACTTGGATTTCTGTTTCTCTGACAATCGAAATCGACCCCCCTTCTGGTTCAACCGGTTTTACAATCGTGTTTGAAAATTGTTTCGATCCAGATTGTTCACCCCGTCTAGAGTTCTCATCTTTAAGGATGACTTCGTTGGATTCGACTTTGCATGATTCCTTCACGTCAATAGTTTGTGATGTAACCATGTCCTTGTTCTTATCAGAGGATATACTCCTCTGTATTCCTAAACTTTGCTTCTCGGTCACAGTTGTTCTTTCTGCGTTCTTGAAAATTTCTGGAGCTGTCGAAACTTCACCGTGATTGTTGACTCCTTCTTGAGCTGTTGGTTTAGGAAAGACATCGGTGACACCTATTGCTCTTGATATGTCAAGACTTTTCGTCTCCACAGCCTCCTTATAAACACAATGCTCCGACTGATTTTCATTTATAGGGGTACTTTCTTCTGTATTTACGGTAACAACCACCCACTCATTCTCTCTGTCATTGGATACCTCGGGAGGTATAGTAGCATCAAAAGACGCTTGTGTTTCGTCCACCCAGGGTAACAAACCTTCGTTAATGTTAAGTTTCTTCCCAAGTTTTTCTTCCTTAGGCAGCTCTTCTTCATTTTTACCATCCTCCACATATATAAACTCCTCAGGGGGTGCCATCGTAGGATTAGCAAACTGGCAGGGAGGGGTAAGTGGCCGCGTTTCAAAATCCGCTGGTGGCGGAATGGTACTAACCACATCCAAACTAGACCCAGAGTCAGGATCCTCTCTGTGCTCCAAAGGAACATCTTTCGCCTGGTCTAAAGGAGGAGTTATGATAAGGCTCTCGGGGCCTTGATCAAACCCTGAATCGTGATCCTTGACGTCGTTCTCTAGGCCCGTTTGTACTGTCTGAGCTTCGATTACAGGAGGAGGGATATCATCGAAAACTGATTTAGGAACCACAGGTGGGGGTACCAATGGTGTTTTGTCGGCGTTGAGCTGCGTGGTGTCCTGTAAAGATTCAGGCTCAGAGTAAAACGGTGGAGGTGGAACTACGGGCAATGTCTCTTGTTCAGGAGCAGGCGCTAGTGAAACTTCCTGTTTTGCCTTTGGCGTCCTGTGCTCTTTACTCTCCTGCTCTTCATCGGGTTCTGCCTGAATGGCTTGAGCCCGCGCATCATTGATACCGCTAACAGCAAACATTCCAATTTCATGTATTCCAACAAGACCGTTCATTGTCATCGGGAAGCCATCAGTCACAGCCCCTGGAAGACAAGTTGTTCGGAGTATTAAAAGGTAAGAATGGAACCGAAAAAAAAAAAAAGTGTTTACCAAGTGTCAACTTTTTAACACCCTCTGACAAAACCCTTGCACCAGCTGTCTGCGCGGTATTTGCCTAACTGTGTTCTCTCGCGACTCCAGTATTTTAATCTCAAAAGGGTACTCAACCTTTCGGGGAGATGGGAATAAAAGCCGACTTTACGAAGGTTTATCGCGCAACTTCAATAGCTGGTTAAGATCCACCAGCCTTTATACACAACATACATGGTGTAAGAAGTTGAGTTATTGACACGGAATGTCTGCTCTCCGCCCCACATAAAACACACATTCACACACAAACGCATTTCTTCTGTTGGGCAATCGATTATTTCTTCAGGCAATTCTGGTGTGACTAACTAACTAACTACCTAACTAACTAACAAAAGACAGATGAGTTACTTAATAAACTTTGCATTTGGTTATTTGCGTTTTTTTTCTCTTTACCTTCCAATATGTCAGCTTCTATATCGGTCAAAGGTCCAACAGGAGTTTCGCACTCGTCAAGTGGAGGGGGCAACTCGTCTGGTGGGGGAGGAGGGATAAAAATGGGCAAACCCCTCCTGTTATTCCCATCAACTTCTTCTTGACTGTCAGATCGATGCCTTTCCACTTTCGGTGGCAATGGCAGACGATCTGGCCTCCTTGTGATTCCCTTGTTTTGTTCCAAGAGAACGCTCGCGTCCTTCTCTCTTTTGTCTTCCGCTACGTCTTTTCTTCCCTGGGACCCCTGCGTAGTTAATCTGGGTGCTAGCTGAGGGGGAGGGGGCCTGTCGGGCCTTGGAGGGGCAGGTCTTTTCTTGTTACTCGTTTTCAGTTTACCGTCACTTGCGGCAGAGACTTGAGGAGTAGTGGAACTTGCCATCGAAGGAGGGTTCGTCTTCACAGCAGCACCGTTAGCGTGGATATCCGTTTTCTTTTCAGTAAAAAGCGCCTTGGGAGCAGCAGGGCGCGGGGGAGGGGGCGGAGCAGCCCTACGCTTGCGTTTCGTGTCTGGTGTTGACGTCTTTATGTTGCCATTAAATACAAGAGATTCGTTCGATTTTTTAGAGCAAACGCTCAGTTCCGGAGAAGAAGCGTACATTATATCGCTCTTCAACGGGCTTAAGGGAAGCTCTTTGAGTGCACCGTTTGACACGTGACCTGTCTGGTTTTTGGGAGGAGTCACAGATTTAGAAGACTGCGGTTGTAAGGGGCGTATTGGAGGCTTCTTCGAGCTGGAATGTTCACCATCCATTCGTCTCATTGAGGGCGGAACACAACCATTGGACGACGAGTGCTTTTGTGCATTCTACAACAAATATAAGATATTGTTTCCCTCAGTTAGCGACGACGTTTGAAAAAAAATTGCTCTATTTCTAAGATTATATTACCTCATGTTTATCATCGGAAAGTCCTTCTAAGGACTTGCTTCTTTGCGGCAGTGTAATCTTGCTTTCCTTGTCCTCGCCTGGTAGAGAATTATCTGCTTCCATTTCATCACCACAGCTTTTTCTCAGGTCTAAAAGGTAACGATGATTTATAAAGTACTTGAGATATTATGGTCCCTCTGATTGATCAAAAACTTATCGTTGATTGTACCGAAAACACTACAGGCGACACAGAAAGAATTGGTGCAGGTTTAAGGACTTACATGAAGGTGGGGGACCCCAGGTAGGTGAGTTTACCCGCTTGACCATAGAACCTCTTATTTCATCTTGATCACGTTTACATGATGGGTGGGAACAGTTTGCAGTTCAAGTGAAGTTAGGGTGAGCATGAGCGTTACGATTATTGTCAGTGGAGCGTTCCATAAGGTTGCACAAAATACAAGCCTAAAAAAAACACATGTTATCTAAAACGACGAGTTGCCTACAATTAAGCTTTCTTTTGATTATGTCACAGGGCTTCGAAAAATCGAGAAACAGGCCACCCACTTTACTCTGTCTAAATAACAACCGCCAATCTCTCAAGCCAAAATCCATTCTGAGGAAAAAAAAATTGCTGTAATAATTGGCAGCCGGTTATCGGGTTATGATACACAACATTACTGTTACATCAATGTACTCACGAGTGTTGTTAAGCGGATCATTAGATGTCGCGTCATCATCAGTTACAGAGCTGTTGGTTATTGTGAGGGTGTTACCGCTGTTACGCCTTAACACTGGTTTAAGAACAAGTCATATTTTAGACAAGGCACAGAACAGATGTAACTTTTATTTGTATTCAGGCGAGCGGCGGGCAAAAACACCGACCGCTGTTCAAGAAATAAGCCTGCGCTCCTTCTCCGAACCTTCTCGGGAGGATCGAGGACCGCATCCGAGAAAACACGGAAATCGATCCTGGGCGAGTGAAGGCAATCACAAGTCATAAGCGCGGAGAGGAGCGTTATTTTCCTGCACTCTATCCCTTGCGCGAATCGCCCTTCTCGTAGACCTCACGCTTACCTCCGATCGCCTGAAAAAGGTAAAAAATTTACGCTTCCTCTGCAGGCGACATTTAAAACGGCAAGTTCTCCTTAAGAAGAAAATTAGTCAAGGAAAACCAAATGGCTATACATGTTGGCAAAGATGAGTTTTTTTTTTTCCCTACAGTCTTTTTTCATCACCTTGACAAGTCACCCTCGGTTAGCAAGGCATCTACACGAGCAATATTTTCCTGACAGGAAGACTTCTCATGGGAAAGCTTGCTAAAATTTGAACATCGATCTTACCAGCGATGAGAAGCCTCTCAAGGCATAATTGTCACCTTAAAGCCGCTGGTGAAAATGCAGATTAAAGCTTAACTTCTCCCAATAGTTACCACTCATTACCAAGCAAACAGGTAATGAGAATATTCAAACTTATCGGGTACGTGTTATCAGCTTGAGCCAACACCAAATTCTCTCAGCTAATTTAGAAGAAGTGTAGCAGCGAGAGGGGAGAGTTGACAATCAGATCTTGGGAATTAAATGATTAACACAGGGATAAATAGTGCAATAAAGAAAAATATAGTTATTATAGTGACTGTGCTTTTGCAAAACTGTGTGTCTTACCTCTTTTATCCATTAATCTAACTTGTTTGACTTCAATTTCATCCACAGTGCTACTTGTATCGATAAATTCATGTTTAAAGTCTATATACTGCAGAGAGTGGTGTCGAGGGTTGAGATTTTCTCGTGAACAGACTCTCATCACCAGTTGCTTCACGGTCATGTCAAGACACACACGATAAGATTTCTTTATTCCACTTGGAAAGATCAATTGGAGAACTTTACTCTGTTAAGAAAAGAAGCCTCTTAATAATATCTTAAATGCTAAAAACCATTACTTCAGTTAATACTAACAATAACAAAACTATCAATAGGTACCACATTGTGATATAGTAATAGCCACTGTCATTTCACCACAACAAATGCTACTGCGATTTTAACTGATGAAAATTAATATTCACTTGACCCTGATGGTAACTTTCATTCAAGCTTCTCTCATCTGGACAAAAACTCCCTATGTCCAACTTATACTCTTCTGTTCAAGCCCTTTTTACGGCAAATGTGTAAAGCGAAGGTGAGTGGGGCAATTTCTGTTCCTTAAGCTTTACACTGCGTTCAGGGATGTGGACTTCACAAGATTCTCAATACAAGTTAAGTAGCCTTCATAGAGCTATACACTCACTCCCCCCCGCCACTTGGGAGAAACCGTTTTCCATTGGGAGGGAGGCTATGGCTACACATGAGTTAC